AAAAATCACAGATTTTCCAGCTGCCCTCTCTGCTGTTAATCAGCTCTGCTTTTCCTCCCGAGCTTTAATGAGGTTTCTTCTCCTACTTTGAGCTGTCTTGAGTTATTTTATGATGCTCACAGGCTTCTTCTTTTTTTATTTAAATCCTACACTCAGTTTCTTCAAACATTTCTGTAAAAATCAATATGACAGCAGCATCTCTTTGGCTTTGTATTACAGGCAAATGTAGTACACAGGAGGAGGAGGGAAGCAGTTTTCTTTGAAGTAACACAGGAGCAGTGGGCACCGAGAGGGGCAGCAGGACCACACGTAGGCCCAGCGGAGGACAGTAGTCCAAGGCTGGTTGCTCTGGGCAACTCGTGTTGTTGAGGCCTGGATTTGTCTTTTTAAGATTGTGTTAAAGGTGAAGGATAATATTGCTGCCTGATGCCAAAGAAGCCCATCCTCCAGCAGCAACAGTATCATATATAAAACTTGGGTGTACGGCTTGATAGCAGTGATGAGGTACAAATGCCATCAAAAGCAAGGTCCTGGTTGGTCTCCTCTGCTCTCTTTCCCCATAAAGGCAACACATATTTACAAAAACAACATTTAAATTCACCAAATGTACCATGGCTCACAGACCCGACCCGTATGTTGATAAACCAAGCATTAAAACTTTCGTAAATGATCGACTCGGACAGACAGGCGCCGTGTGAATAAGAATATTTATTGAAACGTTCCAATATTTAAAGATTACTTTCACATATCCATTTCATTTTGTCACTTATCAAATAACAGAAAAATCAAAATACTAGATTTGGCAGTCGGCCATGAAGGACACTTTTGTAACAAGAAAAAAATTAGCTGTCAATCTATGATGCAGGAATCCTTTTTCTCTTAGTCGCGACATATACTTCATGTAGGTGTTTGGCTGCATTAAAAGCCACATTAACTGTGAACCAAAACTTTGTTTGAATGACAGAAAAGTATCCAATGTTATCGGATCTACATGCAGGATTTCAATCAGCCTGTGCCCGTTTCTGTTGGTTACAAGAGGCCAGTTCATTTGAAATATTCTCTTTTAGTTCCAGTCCCACAAAAAAGGCTGCATGCAAGCACACCGTAGTCACTAAACACACAAATTCAGTCCATCTGGGGGAAAGTGAAAGAGACTGAAACAGCTGATAAGGTGCTTTCACAGCAGGGCGATGGCCACTAAAAAGCAAACAGTGTAGCTTTGGAACAACAGAAACTGAGAAATACTGAGGCAGAGTGTGATACAATATCTACTTTGGGCGTGACTTTTTTTGATATCAAAATAAAGGAAAATCTTAAGTGTTTTGGCACATTAGTGCTCAGAAAGGAATCACACAGGAGAGTTGCTTCACTGAAGCATAAGTCCAGTTTGACCAAAAACAACAAAAAAAGCAGCATTTGTTAAGGCGAAAGTCAAGCAAGACATTTTTTTCACATGCAAAATCTGCACGCAGGAGTAGTAGTAAGGCGCATTTCAAGAAATCACAGGCAAGCGTGGAAATATCAAGCATAACGTATCAAAAATAAACTGAAGTCCTGCCACAATACACAGAAAAGAATTCTACCAGATAAAAAAATCGTGCAGTTTTCAGAGTCTCTTGTTGCAAAAGACAAGAAACCCTGTTCTTCAGCATACTACAGTCCCTAGCATGCAATTCTGGCAATACACAAAAACTACTCTATCATTAAGGTCCATAAGGCACACATCCTTTTCACACTGCTATCCTGAAACTGTTCACACTCATTCTGGATAACAAACTGAGCATCTGCAAGACACTAAACTTTCCTGAACAAATCTTTCATTTGAGCATAAAACTGTATTTGTCATTCATTTTAATGAACTATATGTAAACAAAGCTGAAATGGAATGGCATATTTTGAAGATGAACTACCACGTGGCTTTAGTGAGCTGTGGTGACAAAACTCTTTAGATAAAACTCTTCATGTCTATTCTGTCTTGTCATTAAAAAACACACGCCTAAATAACTTGAGATGTAAGATTGAATTGATATGGTGTTTTGAAGTGCCGTCTCGGCCAACATATATATGGCCAGTAATCTGCCTCCATCTAGAGGTGACTCCTTGCCATCACCATTGACTGTCGTTGGGATAATTCGGCACGGCGGCGGGGTACTGGGGCAAACTCGGGCCCTGGTTTTGCTGACTGACAGCACTGAGCCCTGCTGCCGCCCCTGGTGCACTCTTCCACATCCCAGTGCTCCACTCTTCCTTGGCGTGCTCCAGACTACCGCCTCCGCCACGGTACAGTCTGTGCACCTGCAACATGAAGAAGAAAAAAGGGGTGAAGACTTAAGGGTGTGAGTTTGGCATACTAGAAAAAAATACGAGAACATGTTTTATTTTCTATCAGTTATTTAAAGGAGTGAAACTTCTATATATTTTAGGGTCACCACAGGCAAAGTAAAATATGTCAAGCTTTTTTTGTTTTATTTTGATGATTATGGCTTATAGCTCAAAAAAATCTGAAACTCAGTATCCAGTCCTCTTTTCACATTAAAGTAAATTTAGCATTTTATTTACAAATTAAGGTCCTTGAGTCTCAAGAGACAGAGAATCCAAGGTGTTTGAAATCCAGTGTGAAGTTTCCACATTCTCTGATAATTTTAGGCGTCACATCATCTGCTGGTGTTGGTCCACTGTGTTTTATTAAGTCCAAAGTCAACGCAGCCGTCTACTACGAGCTTTTAGAGCATCTCACGCTTCCATCTGCAGAAAAGTTTTGTGAAGATGCAGAATTCCTTTTCCAGCAGGACTTAGCAGCTGCCCCAAACCCACTACTAAATGGTTTGCTGACCACGATAATTACTGTGCCTGATTGGCCAGCATCTGACCTGAACCCCATATGGGGTCAAGAGGAAGATGAAAAACATGGACTCAAAATAGCTTTAGTAACACGTCAGCAGTGCCACAGGCTGATCACCTTCATGCCATGCTGCATTGATGCAGTATTCTGTGGTAAAGGAGAACCAATCAAGTATTGAGTGTATCAATAAACACACTTTTTAAAAGTTGGACCTTTCTGTATCATAAATCCCTTTTTTAAACAATCTCAGGGAATATTGTAAGATTTTAGGAAACTGGATTTCTGATGGGACTGCAAGGTGTTAGCACTGTCGCTACTGTCGTGGTTAGCACCGTCGCCTCGCAGCTAGAAGATCCCCGGTTCGTGTCCCAGCTAGGACGCCTGGGATCTTTCTGTTTGGAGTTTGCATGTTCTCCCCATGCAGTGTGGGTTCTCTCCGGGTTCTCCGGCTTCCTCCCACAGTCCAAAAACAGGTTCATTGGGGATTCTAAATTGTCCGTAGGTGTGAATGTGAGTGTGCTTGGTTGTCTGTCTCTAAGTGTGGCCCTGTGATAGACTGGTGACCTGTCCAGGGTGTCCCCTGCCTTCACCCTAAGTCAGCTGGGATAGACTCCAGCCCCCCGCAACCCTAGTGAGGATTAAATGGTGTATAGATGATGGATGGATGGATGGATGGATGGATGGATGGATTTCTGATACTTATGAAAAATAAACCACAATCATACAAAATGATAACAAAAGATGGATTGAAATATTTCACTTTGTGTGTAATGAATTTTGAATATGATAAATTCTCACTTTTCTCAAATAACAGATGGAACTTTTTTCACATTCTTCTAACTTTATGAGATGCACTAGTATGTATTTGTGACAAGTGTCCATGTTGGACAACATGCGCAGAAGTAAAAACTAAATTGAATGTGTTCACTCACCTTAAGGAGAACCAGTGCCATTAAGGCAGTCACCACAGTGAAGAGCAGAGTTGTGATAAGCATCACTATAGCGGAGCCCACATTTGTGCTGAAAAACATCACTGTTGCAATCCAGCCGCTTTGATGGCGTTGGTGAGGGTGAGATGGAGTAGTAGGGGTTAGTCGTATCAGACAGTACGCACTGAGCAAAGTGGATTTGATCAAAATGTAATCAAAAGCTACTAATTAGCCATTAAGCAGTGAGAACTCAGATGCAGTGACACACAACACAGTGATGATCGGCTAACTTCCCACACAAGTGAACAGTGTTGTTATCACAAGCAGATGTTCAGTTGTTCAACTTACTTGTTACTTTGAAAAAATTGTCAGCGTAAAAACTTTTTTTAAAAATAATCAAAAAATTGGTTTAAAAAAAAACAAACCAAAAAGCAAAATATAAACATGCTCTAGGTTGGTTCCAAAAACAGACCGATGTGAGTAATTTGACATGACAGTTTTAGACCAATCACTTCACAAACTAATGAGGGAGTTCCATCGGTGGTACTTGGGTTTGTTTTCACAATTTTGACTTGATTTTTGAAGCTCAAATGAATGAACAATAAAATTGACTGAATAAAATAAAATAAGAGCCAATATTTGGAATTGGAGAACATAATAGCTTAATCGAATTGCTCACCGACATTTAACATTAAAAGAGCAACACAGCAAGAGACTATGACTAACGATGAATTGCAATTGAAATGTAGTAAGTTACACCTTATCATGCCTTATCTTAATGCTTGTATTTTATTATTACATCTATCTTAGTTTCATAACTGAACTGCTGTCTGCTTCATTTGCTGGAAAGAACACTTTCAAGGCCCTCATGACCCACTCTGATAAAAACTGGAGGGCAGCATGTGCACAGTGTTCAAAGCCGGTTTGCGTCAACTCACCACGTTCCCCAACCAGAGATGCCTAAAGTCTGGATGAGAGCCAAGACGCACTGAAGGAAGAAGATGAAGAAGAAGGCCATGAAGTTGAACGAGCTGTCCGCCCTACAAGGAACATGAAAAAAAAGAAAAAAAAAGAAAAAACAAAGGGATGATACAGTGGAGAGCAAATGAGCCCAGAGTTGCTCTATTTTTGTTGTAATGTTGCTTCTGGTTGCCAACATGAGTGGAAACGTGAACGCACTCGCAATGAAACACGATGCTCTCAACAGAACAAGCCACGGAAAAGCAAGAAACGTCTTTAGAAACATGATGGGTGGATATTCAAAGAGGAAAATTAGAATTCTAAAATTCTTTTTGGACCTGAATATTACACTGGTCTACACCCATTTTGGTGTCAAAGTTTTTTGAGCTGATTTTGGACAATTGCAATGTGCTGAATCCAAATATTACATTGGTTTTGCTCAATGAGGTCAAAATTTTGATTTGTTGCCACATGCACTCTTTTTTTAACATTTTTGTCACGTGATTTTATCAAGGTCAACATCTGAGTGAACACCACCGGATGGCGTGATCACAATTTTAGCTGTGGTTTATGATAGTTGTCTCTGCTTCAATATTGTTATATATTTAGTGTTCTTTGCCTCAATACGTACATTGAAAACAAATGGCTTCAGCCAGACGGGCTTGTAGAAATAAGCCTGATGTCTTCTGCTACATCTGTGGTGAATACATTCTTGTTCCAAACAGATACCCGGTCACCAACTTTTTAAAATGTGCTTTTCATGCTTATTTTGGCATGAAGCTTGGTGATCAGGATAAAGCGTGGGCGCCTCACATGGTGTGCAAGAGCTGTACGGAGCATTTGCATCAGTGGACCAAAGGGACAAGGAGTTCGTTGAACTTTGGAATTCCCACGGTTTGGAGGGAACCGTCAAACCATGCAACTGACTGTTACTTCTGTGTCACTGATACAACTGAAATCAACAGAAAAACCGGAGCTGCCTCAAGCATCCTGATCTTGAATCAGCACATCGTCCTGTATCCCACTGCAATGAGATGCAATTTACTTGTGTTTACCTTTACAAATGTTTACGCTCATCAACTTTTGGATCATTTAGCTTAATAAAAGGATTAGAAAATGAAAGTTTCCTCTAAAATCCAATTTCATATGAGAAATACTAAAATAAATCAATCGCTAATGTCAAAAACTGTAATCGATTTAGTGGCAAAATCGATATTTTTTTTTTTAAAATCGGGTTGGCATAAAAACTTGACCTGATACAGAAAAGCAGATGTCATTTTTGGATTCTGCATTGCAAAAATGTCCTAAATCATTTAAAAAATCCTAGACACCTTCAATTCTTTATTTTTTTTTGGTAACCCAGTGTAATCAATAGCTCAAGTTTTTTCGGTAATATTAAAATGACTTTTACCCACAGGACACTCTCTCAAACAAAGACCAGATGTAAAAAGCATAGGCAGAAACAGTATACTGCTATAGAAAAATACCAAACCATGAAAAAAAATAGAAAGAAATCAGGATTTCAGTTTCGCTCATATCCGTTTGGAAATCAGATACAGCATTGCAGTTATAAAATCAGTATGGCCTTAGTCAGTATTTCATACTCATTCCATTGACTAACAACAGCAGCAGCACAAAAATAAATGTAAAGAACAGCTTTATTGAGAATTTTACTGCATTAAAATTTAGTCAACATGCACAAAAGGCATGACAAAAGCCTCACAAACAGACATAAAATCAGCTTAGTTTACAGGTTCCACACAGCTGACCTTTGAGCAAAGCTAATTGTAAGAGTGACCACATTAGCCGCACAGCACACCAACACTCAGGATTTTCCTGTTGTTGTGTTGACATTACCATCAAAAATAAAAGTCATCAGCTAGATCGTAAGTTTCTCAGAGGCTTGTATTCACTCTTGCAGTCAGGAGCAGAACGTTTGGTTTGTTTGTGGCTGAGACATTTTAGAGTTAACAGAAGCAGCTGCAGAAAGTAAACAAACCTGGCTGACTGTGAGGCAGCTGCTGTTTCTGAATGGCTCACCTGAAAACAGCGAGCAGTGAGGAAGGGGGGCAGGATTATAGATAAAGTCTGAGCTACATGACTACTAGTTGGTTAAGTGTGAAGTAGCACCTGGGTCAAATTTTTACAGGCTAATAAGCTATGTGGTTGTGGAGGGATTTGAGAAATTGTAGAATTAACATCTTGACATCGTAACAGCTTTTACTTTACTGCTCCAACTGTATTTGAACAACATAACACGGGATCTTTTAGAACACACAATTCTTTCTAGTCTTCTCTTTTATAAACTCACACAGGCTTTTTTCTTTTGCAGTTTTTAACTCCACACTTTTAACTTTTCTGCCATATTGCCTCCTATCATCACATTCACTTTTATTTTACATCATATTTTTCCAGTACTTCCCAGGATGATAATAATATTTTTGAATGAGAGAATTGAATAATTTATGACAAGATGCTAAACATTAATGGACAAACGAATCATTCAGGTTTCGTTTTTGCTCATATTAACACTAATTATGAGGTAGCAAGCTAGCTAGCTACAGGACTGACAATACTAATCTGATCTACTGCCTAAAAAATTCCACTTTTACAGTGGCAAGAAGAACTATACAAACGCTCTGAAACTACCGGCTTTCATTATGAATTTGTCATAAAATGTGGTCTGATCTTAATCTAAGTCACAAGTACAGATAAGTACAATGTGCCTAAGAGGGTAACGCTCACCATTAAACAATCTCAGTGCTGATGGAAGAAGTAAAGGAACTCTTGGATTTATTAACTTCCTAAATTTCCTGTGGCTGCAACAAATTTAAACAGCCATTTCTAAGAGTTGTGAATCAGATATGCACGATGTTCAGGAAGACTTTAGCACCATTTGTCCTGATAGAACTGCTCCAGCTATATTCTTAGGATGTCTGGTGTGAATGGTTCTCTTGAGGTCTTTATATAGCAGCTCTGTTGGGTTAATAGTCGGACTGGGCGACTCCAAAAGAAGGATTTTCTCTGTTTGAAATCACTTTGTCGAGGATTTACTTGAGAATAAAGAGCTATTTCCCTGCTGCATCAACTATTTTATGTTTAGCTTCAGATGGACAGCAAGTGATCTTACAGGACATTATCCTCGAGGACGGTGAGCTGTCCTGGCCCAGAGGCAGCGGATCAGTCACATATCGTGATGCTTCCTCCACCGTATTCTACTGTTGGGACAATATTTTCATGTTGATACACACAGTGCCCTTTTATTTTTGCCTAATGTCTTCCAAAACAATCCAACCTTTGTGCCACACTGACTCAAAAGTGTGTGACAAAAGAAGAAGAAGACCACACATAGCTGCTAAATAATGCAAAATGTAGTAATCAAAAAAACATGAAATACAAACAAGGCCCTGTCTGTGTGAGTGATATGAAGTGTGTGGGCGCACAGATGTAGAACACAAAGGCCCTGATCTCCACCCTACAGCGAAAACACCAACTCCCACAGACTTAACTGATCAGATTACATCAAACGTGTTAATGTAGCACATTTAAAAACAACTTGAGTTGACCTTTAAAGTTGACCAGCCTGAGTTAACTGATGTTGAACTGCTTCAGTGTGTGAGTTCGTGTGGACTCCAAATGGTCAAAAAAAAAATGAGGAAGAGGACACACCATCATAACAGCACACACTGCTTGAAAACCGCACAATGGCATTTTTAAAGAAAAGCAGATTTGGACTGGTTACTCAGTTGGTCTCTCTCTGATTGTGGCATTACATGTTTATCAAAGTACCAAAAGCCAGGAAATCGGTGCACATCTCTAAAGCCTATGCAGACATTTGACTGAAAACACACACAACTCTACAATGTACAACAAATGTACACAAAAGCAAGCCAACACGCGCTGTCACTTACAGTTAAACTTATTTTGGGGATTTCTTCCCTAAACCATCCATTGGTTTCAGTACATTTTGTGTGGGCAGCACAGCTACGCATATACATCACCTATTTCAGTATGAACTGAAGGAAAACCCCTAGAGACAGTCTGCTGATATGATCACCCACAAAAATGGGGCACATTTGCACAGAAAACGTTGGCATCAGAGCCCTCGTGCACTTTGACATGATTTGACAGAGGGACAGGCCTGAACCCCCACACACTCAGTGGGAATACACCTTAACGTCTGCGAGTCTGTAAACTTACAGAGGATGGGATTGGGCTATAGTGCTCCTCGGCAAACGTAAGGCATGCAGCAGTGTTTCTTTGTTTTTGAAGAGCAGCTGCTTTCTCTGTGGTGTCCTCCGATGGACACGTTCACTGGTAGACACATAGATTAAGATGTTAACCATCTCCAGTGATTCCGTTACTGTTTCCAGCCTACAATATGAACATTTGCTTAGAATCTAGATGAGGATCTGACCATATTTAAGCTAAAACACTATAGTATGTCCAGTTTTTGGTATTTAGTCTGAGATATTTCAGCTCTGTGGTCTTTTACTCTCCAAGTAAGGTGTAGGTGGAAGGGTTCAATTTGAGGTCAAAATCAGCGTCATTAGGAGACTATCAGGGTACTGAGGGGGGGGAAAAAGGGGGGGTGCACATTTTCTCATTTTTGTTTTTGTGGGGAAACCTGACTAGACGTCCGTAACCTAAAGGGCGATTCAGACTGATATCAGGGAAAAAATAGGTCAGTAGAGTTAATGAGGACAGTGGGTTACTGCGGTGACAAACCTCGAACTGGCAATGAGGCTTTCAGGAAGTGATGCAATTTTCCACTAAGTAGTATTTCTAAAAAAACAAAAAACATTTACTCTTGTTCACGCATGTAGTCCAGATATATATGCAGCCAAATTTCAAGAGAAATCATTCCCAAGGGTTCACTTACTTTAATTTACTTACACTGTTGTTTGAATAGTGTGACGGCCCCACCTAGTCTGTTGGTTGGGCACATTGGCTGTCTGTGTTTGGCTGTTTGGCTGTTTCCTCAGGTCCCTAGACTGCTGGAGACTGAGTGGGCGGTCCTACCTGATTGGCACGCTCGGGCCCAGCGCTCCCAGGTATAAAAGGGCCAGATTTTCAAAAATTGTCAGTAGCTCTTAAAATGATGGTTCATTCTTCTGGGAAGCTCTCTTTTTGTTGTCATTAACAAATCTCTCAGTTTTTGTACTGTACTCACTGCTTAAAAATGGAAATGGTCACATTCCAGCTAAACGTTGATTCACAACTACATAGTGGCTTTAAGCATCCATCATCAGTCAGGCCGTCAGGGCTCATACGTGTGTGTGAAGTATCACAAAATGTTGTGCACACTAACACTTTATCTTTTGGCTTGACGGTTAAACACGGTGTTCCTCAGAAAACGGACTTAAACCACTTATCTACCACATGTACTTTCGATCACCTAGTTGCACTGTCAAACCAACACACAAATCTTTCTTCCTGTAACAGGGAAACAAACTGGTGGTTCAGCATCTCACCACCTAATGTGAAGAATTTACTGCAACTGAACATGCACAAGATTGAAATTATGCTCGCTGGTCCACCGAAACAAATCAGTTTTCGTGGATTTTTCCAGTAATCTTAAAAGCTGCACAATTTCTCAGAGCCATATGATGAAGATTTTGGAGATAGATTTCAAACCCTCAATTGCTTTTGAGCCACAAATCAGGTATGCCATAAAAACTGTGGGGTTTCATCGACATAACAACGCCAAGATATGCCTTGTTTTATCCAGTTCAGACGCAGAAATCCTTTTGCGTATTTTGGAAGCGTCCACCACTCTGCAACTGCAATTTCCTTTTCTCTTCCACCCATGACAAAAAAAAGAGGAAATAATTTGATCTAAAACGCAGCTGCTAGAGCATTTACAAAATGTGAGAAGTTGGATCATGGAAATTCTGTCCTGATTTCTTTGTGCTGGCTAACAATTGAAGGAAGTGCTGATTATTAAATCCTCCTGACTAACAAGGCTTTAAATGGAATACTTCATGAAGTGCAGCAATTCCATTGAAATTTCTTGCCTCGATTAATTTTTCCGAGATGTAACTAAAAAATCTTTGTAGGGTAGACCCTTTCCTCATCAAGTTCTCCTACTTTGGAGTACGCTTTTTCTACAAGGTAGGCTTTGCTGAGGTTTTTAACTCCAGGCTTTAAACTCATCCCATTTTCTGTGTTATAGCCACTCAAAGTTTCACTGACCTGGCAAACATTCAACTTTAATAGCTACTTACCTCAATCCTGTTTGTCACTATATACGTTTTAAACTTTCCAAACCTTAATTATGTTGTTTGATTTACAATCCTAAAAGCAAGTTTGGGTTTGCCTGTATGTGTATGATGTTAGATTGTAAATCTGTAAAGTATGCAGAGATGTAGAAACAAATTGAAGTTGTTCATAAATTAGCAGGTTCATGAGATTTACGAGGTGATGACTAACCTGAAAGCTTTGTAGAGGGGTCTGAACCAGCAGGTGTAACTACAGGGGCTGAAGAGGATAAGCCAGAGCAAGGAGAAGCCAAAATTTGTGGCACTTCCGCCTCCGGCCCACCAAGCAATACACGAGATCACGTTAGCGCACAGTGTTCCTGAATACACTGCAGAACAGGAAGGGACGGGGGTGCAGAGAGAAGAGGAGAAGGAAGGAGAAGAAGGGAAGTGAGTCATTTTTTTCACTTAAGAAGGAGGAATCTGTCTCCTTCTTCTTGTTCCAAAAAAGTGACAAAGCTACTAGAAAATGTAAGTGATATCACTTACTCATCCAAAGCAAGTAGACTCTGCGCACCAACAGCTGGTGAGGTGCAGGAATTTCTTCCTCGATGTTCTGGTAAAAGCATGGCTTAATTCTTAGAAACTGGGGCAGGGGAGGAAAGTTGTTCGGCCGATCTGAAACAGGAACAAAAGTGTCATCATCATACTGCTGTTTTACTGGTTTACATGTGAATATTTTACAGCATGCCTAAATACAGTGAAGTAGAGAAGAAAAGTGGAGAAGTGGAGTGTTGAACTCTTTCTGGTCATTGATTAAACTCCAAGCAAGTCATCTCTGTTAAAGTTATACATTAAGAACTTTTTTTTTCCATGAAAATCATGAAAATGAAAAAAATGGCTTAGCTGTCACTCTACAAGAATGTGAATATGAAGTCACCGCCCACACTTCATTCACTCGCTCCAGCTCAAACACAACAGTTCCCCTACAACTCTGCTCACACACTGTAAAACTATTTCATGCTGCACAACGGCAAGTTCTAACATTGGAGTAATTCAGCCATGCATGTTTAGACCAAAAAAAAAAAAAAGATTCTAAAGAGGAAGACAAATTCAAAAAGCTCCACAATGCAGGTAGATAGAATTGATTCATTACGGTTTGCTACGCACGAAACCCTGAAAGTCTGAATGTGTGTTTTTGATACCAACATCTGCACACTGCAGTGATAAGGTGGATATTCTCAGCCATCGTGTTGACTGCTTATTTGGTTCCAGCACGTATTTAAGAAAAAAGAAAAAAAGAACATGTTCACAAGGCAAAAAACTTGATTCTTACTACTGGGGGATCTGTAACTTAAAAAAAAAATCAAAATCACAACCACAACACATTGGAGGATAAAATGTGTCTCTTATTTCTCTTTAAAAGGGACAGAGGTTTCACTGTATATGCTGTGTGAGAATGCAACAAATAAAAACTCTTGAATCTAAAGCGTGAATTTAGAGAGATAAAACTCGACAAGTCTGAATCTGTGTTTTTGAGACGCGACTCAGCACACTGCGGTTATAAAGTGGAAAAGCTCTGCTATGGCGGGGACTGCTCATTTGGTTCAAAATCTTCTGATTTAAAAAAAAAGGTGATTTTTAACAGAGAGTCTTTAACTTTTTTCTTTCTTGTTTTTTTTTTTTTTTTTTATAAACAACTACCAAGACACACGTTACAGAAAAGAAATGAAAGTAATGTGATTCTAGAGGATGAAATGTGTCTCTTGCTTCTATTACAAGAGAACGGGAAGGGGTTTCTGTCTTGTGTAAATTTAGAATAGATTTAGAAGAGACTGCAGTTACAAGGCGGACATATCCTGCCATGGTTTTGATTGTTTCTTTGGTTCATAATGTGTAAACACATTTGAGGAAGGAAATTGAGAGAAGGTGACTATTATGGATTAAATGTGTTTCTCTTCAAATTTAAATTTAGACACATAGATAGATAGATAGATAGATAGATAGATAGATAGATAGATAGATAGATAGATAGATAGATGACAAACCTCCCATGTTGAAATCCCACTTCTTTCCAGAGTGATAGGACTATACCTACAGACATGCAAATCAACAGTTAGCATTCATACTTTGATACAACACCAGGCAAAAAATAAAAATAAAAATCCCTAAACAAATTTCAAGAGTCTTCAAACTAGTAGTTTAGCAACAGTACTCCTTATTGACTTGATTTTAATTCCTCCACTGGCTATAGAAAAAGCAATACTGCTCACAAATTCAACGCTAATGTTAACAGCTAGCCATTTCAAGTCATAGTAAACAGCATACTACTAATTAATTTCAACGTGTTTCTACAATTCCCGTGGCTCCATTGGCTGGCAGCAGCTGCACATTCCAACTTTGGTCTAACTGTTGACTAATTTCGCGACACAAACATGAATTGTTCCAGTTTGAATAAGAACTACTCACCAGCAAAGTTGTCAAGTGTGTACTTTCTCTGCGATACAGTAGATAGCAGCTAAAGCGTGTAGTTGAATAGTCGAACAGGAGCAGAGATGAGTCTTTAACGCTGCTGCTTCATTTAACTCGCTGGTTAACGGGGACTACAAACACTGCTAGCTAACATGCTAACAGAAAACGAAACGACGATATGTCAGACTTACCGGGATAACGTTTATCTCCTCGCGTTTCCGTCGACAACAGCAGGGGTCCGGGAATCTTTCAGGATGCGCTTTTTCGACCCCCCCAATCAAACGCACTGCGACTGCGCGGCACCGTTTGGCGTTTGTAGTTCCACAGCTGTTTCCACCCGACGCGTCCGGAGGCACGAAGAACTACAAATCCCAGGACTCAAGTAAGCGGTAAACGGAAAACGCGTGATTCCAACATGACACCCGTTTATATGGATCCCACCCAGTTCACTATCTGTAAACACTCAAGGGACAGGCTTTTGTAATCTAATAGCACACACACAAAATACCTTTCTTGACATTGTTTATCCAAAAATGACAACTTTCTCTCTGAAACCAACACAACTGCGAGTACTCGGACAAATGATGTGTCTTTCAGAATGCATAAAGCTCATATTTGATTAATTCTGCATGTAACACGTGTTGGTAATATATAACGTATCTTATTTATAATAACAACTGCTGTCTAAAGAGTCCTCCATAGAGCCTACTCAGGCTTACTCCTGACTCCTTTCTTTCATTTTACACAACATGGCAACCCTGACTTCTGAAAGTCAAACTCCGCGGCCAATCACAAAGCCTGAAACGCTACATTGAAGGCGTGTCCAGTAATATCAGATAAAGTACTTTGGTTCGCAGTACAGAGTGTCTCCGACGGGTGGAGACTATACACATGGAGTTTGGTTAAAGATTGAGACCAATAAATGATAGGAGGCTGTCTGAACTAGATAAGATAACAACGTCCTTTATCCAGAACACTTTTTTTTTGGCTGGAAATTGCTCAGAAAAAGTGAATTATTACACATCTAACATGACAGCTTACTTGCACATAAACAAAACAGCAGTCAAATTTCATATCTGCCCTCAACAGAAATTCTAAAAGCACTAGAGGTTTTCTCAGTACTTTGTCCTGATACATAAATACAAACAGAAGCCATGACAATAAATAGAATGTATGTATTAACCCTAAAGGGTGTAGAGGAAGGCAGTCACAATTTAAGTTCAAATCAACACAGCAATAAAATCAGGGTTAAAACAAAAAGTAGATAAGACCAGAAAGAATACTACAAAGTCACTACAGTCACAAAAAGGTACGTTTTCAAAAGAGACTTTTAAAATGATGCTGACATTTCCAACATGGCTGATGGATTTGTTAAAAATATCTAGTTCATATTTTTCTGACAGATATTGTGATTTGAGTTCTTAAAGTAAAGCATTTCATATACACTGTGTATCGATCATTTTACCAGTGAGAGGAAGTCAAAATAAGTGGTTCTAAGGTAAGATGATGTAATATTCTGACAGTACAAAGTAAGCCTTTGCAAAATGTACATAAACAAATCCCTTTGTCTGTTAACATGAAAGACACGTGTAAGGTTATCCCTTAGTTTGAACAAAAATAGCTGATATTGTTCCTGTAATACGTGAAAAAGTCAGAGGAGGACATTTAAGGGAAGACACACTTCATTGATATCAATGATTTTTACACTCTATCCTTGTTAATGTTAGATTTCTTATAAATTATGTACACTATCATCTAACACAGTAACAAAATAGCTATCCAGCAAGTGTACATTTATTATTATCTGTCTAAAAGTCTTGCTAGCTGCTTTTATGTCAAGTTAACAATGTTATGCTACATTAGCATGCACGTGTCGCTTGAATTCATAGCTATTATAGGCTAAGCATCCTTGATGATTTAGCATACTTTTTGTATCATGAATGTAAATATCAATTATAATAAAGTAAGGTTGTAACTTTTGTCATAGGTGCCTTAGCAAAAATGTAACCGTTTTGTTAAATAAATACATAAAAAATATATATTCTATATGTTGTCAAACATTTATGTTGCAGTTAAAGTCTGAGCGACATCCCAGCTTGAGAATATCGTTTATGCAGAAGTAACATGTTTGTATTGATAATACTGAATCTTTTAAACTTTTCAAGATTTCACATGTAGTTGTCCTGTGGAATGATTTTATTCCTCTGTGAATTTGTTCACCTGAACATCATTCTTCCTCTTAAGAGCAAGATCAGTTGCACCTCATCTGAAAGCCACAGCACACTGGATACATGTGAATATGTATAAAACAAATACTGTATGTGAATGAACACACATACACACTTGTGCTTTCATGCATAACACACACAGACACGCACACGGCTATGCACATTGCACCTTAGCTTTGTAATCTCTTCCTCCTTTTATTTATGACTTTAAGGCTAGAATATTCGCTTTGCATTTCACTGCACATACTGTATGAGCATGTGGCAAATAAAAGTCTTGAATCTTTCTCCGGTTTGCCCCACACACACACTTAACCAATTAAGTTGATTCTTATTATTAATGGCAGCCGTGTATCGATAATGGATGGATGAATGGATGATAAATATGAGGTTAAAATCTAAAGATTTGTCGCCCGGGTTAAGCCACCAGTGCTTTAGTATCATAACAACGCCTCTGTCACTGCGCTCCAAGAGAAGCACGACGTCATAACCGTGCGACGCAGGTACGCAAATCAAACTTTCCTGCGCTGCCCGGTGACGGTGCTTCGACCAATAAGAGAAGGTTATAGATGGAAGTGACAAACTCCCGCCAATTCCGACTGAGGAGCGCGAGGCGGCAGCGGGGTGAAGCAGGGGAGCATGTAGGAGCTGCGGACAGGCTGCGCTATGTTCAATGTGAAATAAATTACATGTCGTTTCAATAGCAGCACGGTATTCCGTTCGTTAGTGGGGACACCCTCGGGTCTGTGCTGGCGTTTTGAAGTTTTTTTTTTTCTTTTGGTTTTAAACCGGAGAATATCGTAAAACGAGACAAGCCCCGGGTTAGCGGTTGGGATGCTGGCGGCGGAAAATCCACCTGTGGACGGACATTTGGCAGCATCGACTCCCCGCAGAAAAGGTAATGATACTGCATCGTCTAGCAAGCTCTAACGCGGTCTAAACAACTTGTCATAAAGTTTACTAATACACCCTGGACGACGCGTTGTTTCGTCTGTGCGTTTTGGCGAGCACAAAACGATGACAAGTTGACAAAAGACAATTCTGTTTGTGTGTTCGCCGCACAGCTTCACCGCAGTCAACGCCAAAAATCTCAATTTAACACCGTCAGCTATTGTCATGGTAAGGAGACAAACGTCAACTGCTGCCGTTGACTTGGAACATTAAAGCCTGCTGTGAACGTCTCACTTGCCACTTTGCTGTTATCATGTTAATTAAAGCCTGACACGACACTTTAACATAAACTTTATGTTACAGAAATTAAGTTAGGCCTCAATGTCAGTATTTTATACTCACAAAACTGTCTCTAGCCGTCAAAACGGCTTTAACCTTTGTTGCAGTTGCTTTGCTAGCCTATAGCTCTGCCCGGTTCGCCTAGCAAAGGTGCTAGCTAATTTTAGTTACATGAGCAGACAAGCTAGCTGTGTTAGCGTCCCCCAGATGCTCAGCACTGCACATAAAAGCTGTTTTCATAGTCCTCAAATCTGCTCCTTTGTTTTTGCTTTTACACACGTCCGAACTTTGTGGCTGTTGTAACATTACATGAAGTCACGACTAGTTTCCCTGGTTGTGCGAAGTTTTCGGTTCTGTCACCGGGCAGTCGTCCTCGTCCTGACAGCCCCAGACGGTGGCTCGACCGGGCCTTCAGCACCGACTCATACACCGGTTGGCGGGAGAGCAAACCAAACACAACCACTACATCCACTGTAACGCTGTGATGTTGTCACACGGATGTGGCAAAGTATTCTGACATTTGTTCCAGCACTCTTTTAAAGACCTCTTTCGATGCGTTTGTACTGTATCTTAGTTTAATACAGATTGATGAGGATTTTACGGCCCACAGTACATCAGCTACACTGGCATTAGGTTATGACAATACTAAACAAATGTTACGCTGCTGCAACTAAATTTTATCAATAAATAATGGCTCAGTGGAGTTTTTAATCCATTGAATGTGTAAATATAAAAGCGTTGTATTTTAGTTGTGTATAGTAAGGTAAATGAGTTTTAAATGGGGTTGTCATTTAAATTCTTTTTTAAGTCTTTTTATTTGCTACTGAAAGCTTTAGTTGTTACCACAACAGCATTCATCTATGTAACTCTCAAAAGCTGTCTGACAGTGTTGGTGTCAATTTGTTATTGCAAATTTGAATGATTTTAAGTGAAGTTATGATGTTCCTATGTTTGTTTTTGTTATAGGCATGGATTGTAAGCCAAGTAACGACGCCAACAAGAAACTTATCCAAGGTAAGTGCAACATCAAATTGTTATTTTTCAATATTTTGGACACTAGTGACATAATATCCTTGAGAATAAGACATTAGATACCATTGAAGATAATCTAGCATGGAGGTTTGGTCATTTTCATGTCCATTGTGTATTCATACCTTACATTTACGGTTGGGCTGAACAATTAGTCGATTTCAAATCATAATTGCCATTTAAAACAATGGAATTAGCTAATTGCAAAGTCTACGATTTAGAATATACAAAGTATGGCTCTTAAATAATGAAACTGATTCTGTAATTCATTTTATTTATTAGTATTTTTTTGCATTTGAAAAGAATGAGACTTGAATGGATAGTCTGTGCACGGCAGTTGTATAGTATGTGATTTAGGTATGCACACTGTGGCTTGACTGACAGAAGCCCAGTTTCATCTTTTGATTACCATCACTGGTATATTTTGCAATGTGTCTGATCGAGGGTTTAAACAACTGTTTTGTAAAATTGTGTCTGGCAATTGCTTGTGTCTCATGTGGTCAAACTTCATCATATTTTAAATCTATTTCTTAGTTAATAGAACTGAAACTTGACTTGAAAAAAATTATACTGCTTGTCAAATTGCATTTGTGATATTTGTGAGAAAAATTGAGATTAGATGTTTTCCTTCAGCTCTAATTTATAGTGCCTATTAATTTTTTCTGGACTTTTGTTTGTTCTGTCTTTCAGTTAATTATTCCCCACTTTTATGCATTGTTGATCAAACCTATTTGACATGATATTTGCACAGTAGTGCAATTAAATGATCAGTATTATTGTTTTCCTGCAGCTCGCCTCCCATTCAAGCGCCTGAACCCTGAACCTAAAGAGAACCAGCCGCCAAAGCGCCCCTGTGCCCACGCCTGCCCTGAACCTGAAGTCTCAGACAGGGAGAATGAGAATGAGCCTTCTCCACTCTCTGTGCGCAGCAGACCACCTTTGGTTAATGGCCGGGGGCCACTTGATGGCTTCCTAAGCCGCAGATGCCCTGCAGCATCCTCAGATGAAAACCATGTTATCGATCTGACTGAGGACATAGAATCACCGTCTGTAAAACAACGTGTTTCACCTGCCTCTGCCTCTCCCTGCGTCCCAGCAAAAGACAAGCATCAATGCAAAGACAAAAGTGCCTCTTCTAAGAAATCCAGCAATGTGGATGACACTCCTAAAACACACACTTTAGACTGCATAGTAACCGATGATGCTGAAGTAGAGGAGATAGAAGACGAAGATCAGGTGGAATCTGTTTCGCAGCTTGACACAACGCAGGATTCTGACAGTGAGCCTGAGGAGCAGAATGAGTCGGCAAATGTTTCTAGTTTGGGAAACAAGTCCATGCAGTCAGCTTCATCGGTCAGCTCCATGTCTGATAGCTCACCAGAAAAGTCCAAGACTGATGACGCCACATCCACGACTACACCTACAGTATGTACAGCACCCATTGCCTGCATTCTGTTTAATACCACTTAGGGCTGTTTAATAGCTGAAAGATGTTAGTCCTGATTGAACAAATTCTGGTTAGCATTATCTGTCTACCATTAATGGAATGTGGAATGATTATCAGAGATGATTATCAGACGTTGCTTTTTTCTTCCCTCATAGGAGCCAAAGACCACCCCCAAGGTACCAGGAGAGCAAAAACAGGTCAAAAGACGCTCATTGAAGGTGAAACCTTTTATGTATACAGTGCAAGATAGTTCAAAAATATGTTTTAAATTCACTAATTCTAAGCTTAAGAACATGATTTAAAACACAGCCTCTTTTGTTATGGGTTGTATTTCTCATCCACTTTTATTGATTAATAGAGAAACTGACCACATGAAACTGAATTGCAATTGTAGAGTTTACAAGAACAAGAGGAGAGGCTTCGGCTGCGACAGGAGAAGGAACGCCAGAAGGAACAGGCCAAAGCTGCAAAAGAGAAAAAGAAAGAAGAGGCTCGCAAACTAAAGGAGGAACGAGAAAGGGAAAAACGGGAGAAAAAGGAGAAAGACGAGCGAGAGAAACGAGAGAAAAAGGAGAAGGAGGAGAAGGAAAAGGCAGAGAGGTTAAAAGCAAAAGAGGAGCTGCGGAAAGCCAAGCAAGAGTGAGTAATGCAAAGGTCTCTTTTTCAGTCATTTTAATCAGTGTTTGCTACCAATGTGACAGCAGACATAATGACGCTGATATGCCAAAAATAAATTGCTTAAAATTTGCCTCAGTGCCAAACTTGAAGAAAAACGGAAGAAAGAGGAGGAAAAGCGAATAAAGGAAGAGGAGAAACGGTTGAAAGAAGAGAAAGATGTACGTTTTTGTGACAGTCTCACAATGAGCAGCATAGATGCTACGTATCTCTAGTTCCATAGTTGAAATTCATGATTTTTTTAAAATAATCTTTTGAACGTTTTGCTCTGTTTGCAGCGTCTCAAAGCTGAGAAAGCAGAAATTACACGGTTTCTGCAGAAAGCCAAGATCCAACAGGCTCCAAAGGTGAGTAAATCTTAAACTTTGTTACAGATACATTCAAAATTGGCTACAGTTTTTTTTTGTTGTTGTTTTGATTTATTGGTCTATAAACTGTATTTTCTGTAGAACTCATGTATGTTAGCCAGTGGTTAATTTATTGTCTTTTGTGCAGCAACTGCAAAAGGTTGAATTGTAACACATATTGTGATCTTATGTGTCCCTTCTTTTAATTAAAACAGTCAACTGATTTCATAAGCATCAATAATATAACCGCTAGTTGTTTTGTCCCTTTGTCGTTTTAGACTCTTGCAGCTGCATGTGGGAAGTTCGCTCCATTTGAGATAAAAGAGAACATGTATTTAGCACCACTGTGCCGGGTTCAGTGTGAGGACTCTGTTCTGGAGGAACTGGACCGGTGTTTGTTGAACCCTGCTGATAACTTGAATGGATTGAAAGATTGGATTGGGCAAAAACCCAGATGGTCAGGACCCACCAAACCCAGGCAAACAGACTCACTCAGGTAAGACAGTGATTATTCCAAGTTGTGTACAGTCCTCCCCACATGGTTGCCCTATGGCAGGGGTGTCCAATCCTGGTCCTCGAGGGCCACAATCCTGCATGTTTTAGATGTTTCCCTCTTCCAACACACCTGATTCAAATGATCAGGATCGTTATCAGGCTTCTGCAGAGCTTGATGATCAGCTGATCATTTGAATCAGGTGTGTTGGAAGAGGGACACATCTAAAACATGCAGGATTGTGGCTCTCGAGGACCAGGATTGGACACCTCTGCCCTATGGCAACAAAGATGAGATGTACTGATTAAAATGGACAATGATATTGAAGCAACAAGGAAATTCCAGATATATCCAATGATCTGTGTGGCTGTAAATTAAGATTATGCAAAACCTTCCAAGCTGACTTTCATTAAACTTGGGGAGGTGAAGCATAGACACAGGAAGACCCCATTAACCAATGTTCTTGGTTAAGACCCCGGTTGTTGAAATCGCTTATTTTATGTGCTGTTGTCAACGGTGTTAATTCTTGAATAAAACACTTCATCATGTAGGACATAATCCAAAACAACCTGTTTAATGTGGTCACATCTTATAATAATACAGGGTGTGATGCCAGTGCCTGAATTCTTAGAGTTTTATGAAGCGTGACTCTAACTTTTCTCACTAAACATTTGCAGAATCGGTAATAGCTCTGTATTAATTTCGTCTATATATTTCACTAAACAGTTTGCATTTGACTACATGTTGAGCTGAACGTGGCAAAGTTGCTCTGCTGCTCCTTCAGTACGATTTGTTAAAAGTTCACTCGGTTCAACAAAAGTTTTCAGAAGTTACCATAGCAATCTCAGCCCCATAAATGTGCTTTGTGACACCTTGAGGTCGTTTGCATTAATGTGTAGCCTTGATTTAATTTAGATATGACAGCGATACCCTGACATCCTGCCAGTAACAACCAGTTTTAAAAAATGTGACTGCTCTGGCAGATGTTTGCTCATGTGTAGATTTGGAAACACTTGTGATTGATTACAATTTTTTAATCCGATTTTTCTGTAGCTTTATGGTTAACGATTGTTTCTCTCCATCTTTCACTGATTCTTCAGGGAGTGTACAACAGTCGAAGGGCCAAAACCAGATGGTGTACCAGACCGAAAACGTTATGGACCCATGAAGCTTCTCAAGTTCCATGAAAACTACCGTCCAGCATACTGGGGCACCTGGAGTAAAAAGAGCTCACACATCTCACCTCGCTGTCCCCTCAGACAAGACAAGGTAGAACTATTTCACAATGGCATCAACCTGTTTAGTTTGCAGGTCGTCCACAATACAAAGCATTTTTAATGATGCATGTGTTAAAATGTAACACAGACACGTGTATCAACTGAGAAACATTGCATAGCATTACATTTTATTGACTTTTACGATTTTAGCTTTGATTCAGTGGCCTGCCTCTGTAACCGTGACGCTCACAGCTGTGTTCTACCACCACAGGATTTGCTTGACTACGAGGTGGACAGTGATGAAGAATGGGAGGAAGAAGAACCAGGAGAGTCTCTGTCTCATAGTGAAGGGGTACGTTTTGTTGGACGATGAAAAAATTTAGTTGTTTATTGGCTTTCCTGTTTTCTTTTAAGTATCTACATTGATACACAGTATTTTACGTGTTTAGACAAGCAAAATATGCTGGGTATACTGACATCGAAATATTGCATATTGTTAGCATTATGGTCAAAGTCAGTTATTGGTTTTATTTCTCAAATTGTAGAGTCTCGAAACTTGCGAGCAGTGGCCATATTTAAACACTGATCGTGTTGTACAAACCTTTTTTTGCTTTGAACTTTAACATTAGTTATAAACACCTCAGCTCCCCCTTTTTTATTTTTAGTTAGGTGCTATTTGGCTACTGACTCAAAAATTCAGTCAGCACAAACCACAGTGAGTTTTCAAAGAAGCTTCTGCTTTTGTCTGCATGTCATAACACAATTTGGACAAAAACACAAATGTGATTAAATGTTAACTGATAGATTTAAATGCTCAGTGCCTGTCCAAATAAAGCAATCATCCCAAAGTCGAGTTTACAAACATGCAATAACATGCTTTCACAAATAAAGTGGCTTGACCCACGATACACATTTCCTGTTGTTATCTGTTACAATCCATACGTAGTTTAAAAAAACGGTATAGCTGACATTTGCCAGAATCTGAACTTGAGCACACGACAGAGTACACACTTACATTTGTTTTGTAACATCGCAATGACAAATGTAGCATGAACAAGAAGACAGTTACTTTAGTTATTAAAAAGGTCTTCATTGTTGACCACTTCTAGGAAGATGAGGAGGAAGGAGGTGAAGATGACGACGATGATGATGACGGCTTCTTTGTTCCTCACGGCTACCTTTCAGATGACGAGGGGGGACTGGAAGAGGAGGTATGACGATGGCTGCGATATTGGTTGTTTTCAGTAAATGTTGAATTCTCTCTCCAAAAAAATCTAATCAGTTGTCTTGTTGCAAAATTATTTAGGAAAGTTTACCGTTTGTATTACTGTTAACACACATTCCACCTTCCAGGAGGGTGGGGACCTGGAGAAGCAAAAACTGCGTCAGAAACTTAAAGCCAGGGAATGGGACGAGCTCATGTCCACCAAGAAGAAGATGAAGGTGCTGGAGCCGGTGGTGAGGGGCTGCGTTTGGGAGGGAGAAGGACTTACTTCTGAACTTTTCCAGCCTTATGCTGTGTGTCTGGTAGAGCCTTTACCCAAAGCAGACACCAGCCCCAGCCCCGAGGAGAGTAAAAGAGAAGAGAAGTGTAAGTGTCATGTGGTTGGTTTGCATTCATGGGTTAAGGTTGGAGAACAGTCATCTCCAATCTCCAAGGTTGGAGAGCAGTCACCGTTAAAGAGCTCGTATTGTTCACATTTCCGCGTTTATTTTGTTGTAGGGGTTAACAACATGTTCAAAAATGCAGTTTCTCATGCTGTACATTGCTGCAGCACCTCTTTGTCTTAAATGGTTCAATTTAACTCCCTAAAAATCCCCCTCTACTTTGATTGGTCAGCTGGCCCGACAAAGTGAGAAACGTTAGTTACATACTGTGACCCCAGATCCGAGTGTAGGGCAGAAACGGCTCTAGGGAGAAATTAGTAGTGTACTGTGAGGAAGCTGCTCAGTCTTTGTCTGAGGATGTGAGAACGCTGAAACTCTTCCACTATAGGCAGGTAAAATGCAAATGTGTTACATGCTGAAGTAAATGAGTCACAGTGGAAAAGCCTGAACGTCAAAGGAGGTGTTTCAGGCAGGGTGAGGATCAGGGTTTTCTGTAGGAGAGAATAATGTGGACTTTTTGTAAGTTAGCAGATCTTTTTCATGCACACCAAAAGCTATAGAAAAACCTCCAATAAAGCATAATACGGGCTCTTTCAAGTTGCAAGGCGTCATTGGACTGTGTGGTCTGATCGCTGCATGGCATGATTTATGGACTAAGCCTAGTTTCCCTTATGAGCTGGCACAACTATCGTTTTGTTTGACATCTTCTTGATGGATGCACTTAATATACAATACCATAAAATGTTATTGGACCTTGTGTTATGGATCTATACATTTCAAAGATGTGTACTAATAAGTATATTTCATGGTAAAATTGTGTGACATAATGCACTGACTGCCCTGTTTTTGCAGTGCTCCACTAGACTAGTACTGCTCACACTATTGGTTGGTTTACAGAATTTTTTCTTGATTTCCAGGTTTAAATTCAATACGTCACATTGCATAATTAATAATTCATGGCTTATAGAGTATACACTCTGAATAAACCCTCTTTTCTATGTTTGAGTTGAGTTTACTTGCGAACGTTTGTAAAAAATAGGTAAAAAACAGCTTAGAGAAATATTTCTTTTTACAGACTAATTAAATATCACTATACTGCTGTGAAAGTTGTTATTTTTAACAGTTCAATGATTGATAATGAGCGTTATTGTAAAAACTTAACTCTACTATCCTTTCCTTGCACAGTACTCGGTCAGCTGCTGCCTCTGCTGCATGGCAATCTCAACAGCTGGAAAGTGATCATCACTGAGTTTCAGGAGTTTTATCGTCAGCAGACTTCCTCCTCCTCTTCATCACCTCCTGATCCGTCCAGCCCTCCAAGCCCGGCAGAAAACATTCCCACAAGGTAAAGTATTATCTGGTGAACATTTTAGATATAAATATAGGATATAAAAATTTATAGTAAACACACTATTAATGTTTTCATCGAGTGTAATCATGGTTTTCCCTCCTGTTATGATCAGAATGCAGCTGAGGCGCCTCATGAAGAACAATGCTGTTTACGAGAAGCGCTCGACCTACAGACGCTGCTGCTGGTACGTGCACCCCGAGGTCCTGTCCCGTTTCGGCCAGGAGGCTCTCCCAGTGCCCTGCCAGTGGACCTACCTCACCACAGGAGCCCGAGAAGACACCCGAGAAGAACCCCAGGCGGCCACAGGCTCTCAAGGAAACTCTCCCACTACACCCCAGACGTCCTCCACTACGTCCTCGTCCTCCAACAAAAGGAAGAGCACAGGCAGCATGTCCATCACCAAGTTCATGAAGAAGTGTACCGAGTCCGAGCAGGTAGTCAAGGATTTGTAGCAGATTTCACTTTTACATTTTAGTTGCCCTTCTGGTAAAAACATGCAGTTCAATAATTGACTGTTGCTTTTTTACTGTCTTTGCCAGACGGAAGCAACGGAGGCTGATGGTTTTCAAGCCGACACTGAGGATGATGATGAGGAAGACTGTGTCATTATCTCCACACAGAGTGGTGAGTCACCCAGAAGGAATTTAAAAAAAAGCTGTCATTTTCTGTTGAAAATCAAATTTGCATGGTTTTTTTAAAGAATAGAATGGAATGCTTTTATTTTCATCATACACAAAGTACAAAGAAATTAAAAGACAACTCCTGTGGTGCAAAAGTGGAAAAAGACAAGTAAGAATATATACATGTATTTACAAAGGAGCCAGTAGGAAGTATGTACAGTTAGCCAAACGGTAGAATAAATATATTGCATATATTGTTGAGGTAGGAACACTGTGGATATATGAGAAATATAAATAAATAATTATTATAATTAATATAATATATACAAAATGTAGAGTATAGTATAATAATTAAAACATAATTATAATATAGTATATATAGCATAGTATAGTATAAATAATAAATAGGGGATAAATAGTACAGACTATAGACTAATGTGCGTTCAGTACCCGTATTGCACTTGTGTAGAACGTTTTGGTGAGTCTGGATGTGCGGGCCTTGATGGATCGGTACCTCTTTCCTGAGGGCAGCAGTGAGAACAGGCTGTGCTCGGGGTGTGAACCATCGAAGGTGATGCTTCTGGCCCTGCGCAGACATCTGGTGTCATAGATGTCTGACAGAGAGGACAGCTGTGCTCCTATGATGCTCTGTGCTGACTTCCTGACTCTCTCCAGAGCCTTCTTGGAGAGCGTCAGGAAGTCAGCACAGAGCATTGTTAACATGCCTATTTGATGTTTACATTTTTTTTAATATATGCTAGAAGACCTATCATGTGTGTAATAAGTGATCGACACCATGGCTGAGCATTGAAACTGAAGTGTGCTGATGGCAGTCGCAAATAATAATTCTGACTTCTGGGTTTTTATATGTAACACACCTTAGGAACCAGTTCAGGATTGGTTTCTGGTACAAACTTGTATTCTTGAGTTCCTTCATTATTACAACTGATCATTGTTTTTGGCAGCGTAGAGCTCCAGTCTTTGAACAGATTCGTAGGTGAGCTGTTGTGCTTGAGCTGCTGTCACTGGAGGGGGGAGGCAGGAACTTAATTGATCTGCACATTTGAGAGTTACATCTAAGCCAGTTGAAGACAGGACAGGATTATTATCATGAAAAAATCTTTCAAATATGCAACTTTGATACACATAGGTGAGTTTCTAGGGGTTAAATCAACAACCAAAGATAGACTTTAATGTTTACTCCAAGATTCTGAAGTGTTTTGCATCATCATGATATTTAAGACATGAGCCCAAGCATATATTACTAATGAATGGATGAAAAAAGTACTGCATCTATTAAGCCAACCAATAAACTAAGCTGATCACCTTATAGTTTTATGAGCTTTTATTCATGTCGGAATACAGCTGCGGTGTTTAGGCATAGTAGAGTTAAAGGTGGAGCATGCGATTCAAATCCCAATCGTTGCCAAATTTAGTGAATATCTCCTGGCTGTCCATTCTGCTTGTACGCTATAAATAATCTGGTGTTCATACATCGCTGTAGCTGTCCACATAACACTATTCCAGCATGTTCGGTGTGTTTGTGCTCGTGAACAAGACCAAAACAAAATGTGGAGATGTAAGATAGGTACAGTGCATAACACATGTATTAATGGTTAATACACCAGTATGTAGAAGCTATTTAATCAAAATGTTTTAATGCGAAAATATGCTTATTATTGTTATCCAGGAATTTTCAAATGTACTATTTTACAAAAATACAGAAAAAAAGTAAAGCACATTGTTATTAGTTGTACATAAGATGTCAGATTCTAGTTATTTACTTGCATTTCTTAACAGAAAAAATAGTTTTAGTGGTTGAATGTTATGCTTGATTAATTTCTGACTTCTCAGAGAAGCCCAGTGAGCTGCTCAAATGTGTGTGTAAGAAGGTGAATTCAGTTTAATTCCTCATTCCTGTTCAAAATAGTAAAATGTCGAGAGCTGAGTGCGAATGAAAGCACTTTGTTAATCACTGTATGTTGTTTGCAGACTATTTTCCTAAGTTAATGTTGGGTGTCACTGTTGGTGCTGTTGGCGGGCAGAATAGAGGCAAGGCACTCAGGAAGAAGTACAAATGTCCCATCATTTGGATTTTCCCCAAAATATTTGCCACAAATCAAAAGTTATGTTCATAGGTTCAAACACTGGCAGTAGAAGGGAAGACTGTGGCATGGGCTATTTATGTAAATATGCCAACTAGTAATATCAACAGTCTTTTATCATTTGTGATTAAGGCACCTGCAAACTCTTCAGCTTTAAAATGGCTGCACACATTTTCATCTAAATTAAATTTTATTGCCTTTGACTTCTCAGGTTCAACCACAGCCAAGTCCTCCAGCGACGGAGGAGCTCAAATGGAAGCGACCCCCTCTGACACAGCTGCTCTCCCCGAGGCCAGCTCTGCTCCGACACTCGCCACCGTCTGAGGACGAGACAAGGAGTCTTCTCTAACCAACCTGTCCCCGTTTCCCTCATTTATTCTCCTTCCTGGTTCTGAACTCGACTGCGTCCAAGACAGAATCAAGTCTTCGTGCAAGATGAAGCTCCAAACTCTGGTCCAGGCAACTCGCAGCAGGTGACGTCTGCTCAGTATTACGAGTCCCTCTCATCTAATTATTTTATAAAGGAGTCAGTAGCTGTCTTTCTGGTAAAAGTTGTCCAGAAGATCAGAGTGACTGGCTTGATTACTGAGGGCTGATTATCCAGAGCTCATTATCAATGTCTGATGTTTTTGCGTTGATGTTTCGGTCGGACGTCTCCGGCTTTAGCTACTGCAGATTGGGTTGAACAGAGAGAGGAAGAGCAGAACAGAAATGGCCAATTTTCATGAGGAGAATCAACAACACCATTATTTACGGTTTTTGGAAATGTTTGAACTCATGAAGTTATTGGTTTTCTTATGGTCTAAATGTATATAGTTTCCCAGAAGTGAGAGGTGGGAGATGATAGGCTGAAAGTCCATCTGTACATTTTCCTGTGATTTCAATGGGTGCATTTATTCTGCAATTTCTAATTCTGATAACTCGCTGGAGTAGTTGTTAGATCTGTACTTGTACAGTTAGGTCGAGTGTCACGATGTTTTATAAATATGTATTTTCTGTATTTTTCAAGAATACTTGAACAGGATAAATTCATTAAACCTGAATAAAAGTGCTGCACTTTTATATTGCATTCATTACCGGACTCGTCATTGCTTTACTGGTTCTAACTGCTGTGTTGGTGACAAATGCAGAAGATGCGGATGTTACACGAGAAGAGGTTTTTTTTTTTTTTTTGGCATAGCTCCACCATGAAACTGATAAACGAGGTGGACAAAATATTAGAAACAGCTGTCAGTAAAACCCTGCAGTTAAACAGCAGCAGTCTGCATCCTCTGAAGTTACCACAGTTAAATGACACCTACTAGATGAATGAAAACTGATCTTTAACACCGTCAGGGAGCTGGACTTGATTGCAGGACTGTTTCTTTTAGCTGATGGGTCCCTAATAAACAGAGTGTAAACTGGCATTGCACTTCTGGGCAATGCAGTTTTGCTAACACTATTTCACAGGAACAGTAAATTCAGAAATTCTTATGGGAGAGACTATTTGGTTATTAAGAATACACTTAAGTGTGTGTTTGCCACATTAAGAAGCTGCTCCTATTAACATTTTATTTAGAAATGGTGTGTTTCTGCTGCTGTTAACTACACAATCTTCCTCCACTTTTTTTCCCCACCCCTACTAGTAACCTGGATTGGCCACAGTGTTAATGTACAAAATGTAAGTCACACATGGCTGAACACCTTTAAAAGACACTGTGCTGCCAATCTGATCCAGTAATTTGTTTTTTATCTTACTGTATTCTGAATTTAAGAAGCAAAAGGCCAATTGCTAACCTGTCATATTTAAAACTCCAGACATACACTGTACTTGAATACAAATCACCAAAACCATAAACGCAAATTGAAGTTTAGCAGGTTTGCCTCGTAATTCTGTTTATTAAACAAAAGTTTAGATGCAGTGCAAGCGATCTTTAGTACAGGCAGGTCAAAAAGCAACAGAACACAACTCAAGAGCATAACATCTGGACAGATCACAACTGCTCGATAATTATTTTAGGAGGTTGCAATGCTGATCAAAGAAACTGGTGGACAGGCTGAAGAAGACCGGAGTGGAGTGCAGAAATGTCGTTTATGGCTGATTTGGCCTTACAAATGCTGGAAATGTGCAGGAAACTTGACATCAGCTTGTTTTCTAACACCCAGCTGGTAATATTTTTCACGTGTTTTGTGTGCACCAAATACTAGAACAACATAAAAGTGTTGAACATAATTAAAAACACTGACAAGAAAAAAACAGAAACCACCCCGTAGCTTTGTAGCTCTACTTCTGTTAGTATTCAACTCACTTGGGATGTATGAAGAGTGAATGATGAGAGGTAGGTTGTTGTCATCTTAACCAACAACTAGCAGGAGAATTCTGTAGATTTACTGGGTAGAGATTCATGAACAGCAAAATCAACCATGAAAATAAATGCGTTAACCTTCAATGACAATGTTCTGAGGGGAAAGAGATGGTTAGAAAACTTCAGTCTGTCACAACTTTGAGCTTTCATTAAATTCAGTTCCACCGTGTTTAAAAGTAAGATCCCTTTTTATCGCAAGGGAATGTGTTTGATACAAACAAATACAAGACTCAAGAATAATTAAATTAGTCCATGCTGCTGGTTTTAACAACAGAAATGTAATTCATCATGATTATGTGCATGCCAGAGCGAGTTGATTACATGAAGCTTCTGATTAACCTCCAAACATCTTGAGTTGTTTGGACAATGTAATGTTTGAGGTTTATTTTTTATTTTTTTGACTTTAAACTTAGGGTACTCTTTACACCTAAAGTGTTTTATAAAGTTTTAATAATCCCTCAAAGTGCGTAAAACAAGTAAAATACAAGAAAATATTTTGGTATTAGAACCGCTCTCACGTTGTCAGCGCATAGTCAACACTCTTACAAAACTTTATACAGTTGGATGTTATCTGTAATTAAAAATACCTGTCTCCTTTTTTTTTGAAATGAATGTAAATCAAATTATCCAGAAAAAATGTGTTTAACTTCTGATTTGGGCTTGTGCTCATGTTGAAGCAATCACAGAGTCTGTTGTATATTATCAGGGAGTGCAAGGCCACTGCAGAGCAGAGCAGAGGACAAACAGGACAACGGAAGCTCCAGTATGTTTACAGTTAACAGAGGCAGACTCTTATCACACCAAATCAGAACAGACGACCATCAGACTACACACTGAGTTAACCTTGAACACTGTCGAACAAAAGCAGAGAGCATTTCAAGTCTCGAGTACAGCCACGGACACCCAGCAGCCTTGAAGAATCAAAAGGAGCCGCAGATCACACCAGCTTTACTTGCCTTCGCCACTTGGTTTTCTGCTATGCTTTTGAAAAAGGTCGAGGAAGTGGTGACACAGTTAAAACAAGGTCTCAACATGCCATGTAAAGTGTACCTGACTGTTGGGTAGAGCACGAAGCACGAAGGCTGCCACAGAGTCTTGTTTACTACACAGCATCTACATTCAGGATGCAACTAAAAAAAAAAAAAAAAAAAAAAGACAAACACGAGTCCCTCGCTTTGTCCTTACGTCTGTTAGTAGTGCTTCCTTCAACACAACGTGCTGCCGAGGCAGGCTGCAGGGCGACACTATCCCCACACGGAGAGGAGGAGGGATACGCTCAGCGCAACAAGCACATCAGGGTGAAGTTGCCCCTCATCTATCACTGCTACTGACTTAAGTTAGAATTTGTAAAAAATAAGTGTATCACTAGTCAAGGGGCAATTTCACCCCAGTAGTGCGAAGGAAAGAGGGGAGGTAGCAGGGAGACTTCAGGGTCAGAGTACGTCTGCTCAGCTCAGGGTCCGAATGGTTTCCAGCAGCTCTGGTTTGAGGATGGCGGGACTCTTTCTGCCTGCAGCTGCGATGTCAGCCTGCACAGCTGCATCCCAGGCAAACGTGAGCAGGGCTGCAGGGACCTGAGAAAAAAAACAAAGACAAAGTTTGACATTAACTGCAGGAAACGGCAAAATCTAGACTGCGTGAAAGATGATTATTTCTGGTGTAATTAGTCTGCATTGGTCTGATATTACCCATCTCTTTCATCAATATAGATAATAAAATAATACAATAATAATAAGACATGTCAGGCACAAGTTACCAGATTGTAGGGCACAAAACATATAATAAAATACCAAAAACAAGCACTTTGGTGTTCTGATGGAATAGAAACCTAAATGTGGCAAATAGCCTCAACCTCATTTGTCCTATTAAAGTTAACAAAAATACTGTGGTTTCCTGAAACAGCTGGGCACTTGTTGGGCGCTGAAACAAGTGCAAGCAGTATATCTGTTGCACGGCAGATTAATACACATTCATAAACTACAGAATCTACACGAATCATAATGACGAAAAGTGTCCCCCAGTGTAATACTGTGGCTCATTTTTTCTATTTGTAATGACATGGGCAGCTGTTAAGTGAACTGAAGTTAGCATCTTGTTGCCATTCCCCTTGCATGTGCACAAACTGTACTTCGGTGCAGGCAGGCATGCTGGGCACAGAAGATTGAATGTGATTGATCAGCATCATGATAGATCCATCCATCTATTATCTACACTCCGCTTAATCCTAGCCTATCCCAGCTGACTCAGGGTGAAGGCAGGGGACACCCTGGACAGGTCACCAGTCTATCACAGGGCCACACTTAGAGACAGTAATCAAGCACACTCACATTCACACCTACGGACAATTCTGAATCACCAATTAACCTCAACATGTTTTTGGACCTTGTGGGAGGAAGTCGGAGAACCCGGAGAGAACCCACGCTGCACGGGGAGAACATGCAAAGTCCACACAGAAAGATCCCGGGTGTCCTCAACTGGCGACCTTCTATCTGCGTGGCAACGATGCTAACCACCGCACCACCATGCAGCCCATGATGATAGATGATGTAACTAAATTTATACTAGAGTTACTGTCATAATAGTTTGACTATTAACTACATTTGAACAATATTTCCAGTGCTGGCACAGTATCAAAATGAAATGTGGAGAGTCTCTGTTGGAGCTGGCCTCGTGCTAGAAGCCTGTAGTTTGTTAACGTTTTCCTAAGAAAACTCTGGTCTCAACTCACCAAGTTACACTCTGCGAGAGCGACTTCTTCGTCTTCTTGTAGCTTTTGACCTCCAGGAGCGATGAGTTCAAAGGGCTGCCAGCCGTCTACCAGGGACTCACGTACAAACCCAAACAGTACAGGCAGCCGGTCCCAGGCATAAAAGGTCCCTGAAGGGTGAGACGCCATCTTTATTGAGTCACGACCACTTCTGTCAGGCTGTCAACAGCTCGACAGGCTTGTGTCAAGGTTACTATATTACAGTACTGTGAAATGATGGAAAAAACAGCGACTCCTACCCTGTAGCAGGTTTCCATCAGGCAGTCGGATCCTGAGCAGAGTGTAGTTGTATTTCCTTCGCTCCCTCTGTTCCTCCCTCTCCCTCATGGCTTTAGTGCGCAGCATGGCGTTCTTCTCCACCAAGTCACTCCTGAAAAATAACAGCTCCTTCAGTTCATTCACTGATGGACAAACACTAATAGACCACGGTGATTTTTGTGGCTGGAGGTGCACATAAAAAGAGGAAGCACTAGAAGAAAGCATTAACGTCCATTATTGGTGGGTGTGTTGGAGGCTGTTAGAGTCAAATATGCCGTCACGTACAACTAATTAAATATACATTCCTGGAAATATTCAATGTATTTCGTGTGTCTTGGAGACCGTCACTGTCTCCTCTGATGGTTTTACTCCAACGGAAACACTGTAAACACCAACGAGCGCTTTGTTGAGCACGAGAGCACGAACATGTGGTTCTTTTGATTTAGTTAAAGTCTGGTGAATCAGGGGTCTATAACGGCACTTTGATGAATGTGGTAAATTAAAAACAGCAAATGCTATTAAAGGGTCAGATATTGATCTGTACTCGGACTCTCTGGAATCTCTACCTTAATCAGAGAAAAGGTACGTTTTCTGTGCAATTAGATTTATCTGCTCAAAGGAATGGCAAGGAAGAACAAGACACAAAGACACAACTCTACCGCTTCACAAACCAGGAAATACACAGGCTTTTCATCTACTTCCTGTTTTCTCCCATTTATTCATGTATCAAGAAACAAATACAGCTTCTGTAGCGTGGGCTGGGCTCTTAAAACTGTACCTCTGCTGCTGCTCCTTCTTGAGCTCGTCCGCCGTCAGGTTGTAGAACTCTGGCGGCAGCTCGAAGCGTTGTGCATTAGGAGAAGGCCTGAAAGCTTGAGGCTGCCTGTCCAGCTGAGCTCTGACCGGCTCTCCTCTCTGAAGACGATCCCTCCTCTCCTTCATCAGCTCCAGGGCGTCGGGACTTTGCTCTGGTAATACCAGGAACTCCTCTTCCTCCTCTGATTTCCACGAAAGGAGGGACACAGAAAGAAGATGTGATGACTGTGTTATATCAGTGAAAAGTCATTGGCCAGTAAAGATATTTATTAAAAACATCAGGATGAATTTACCTTGTCCCTCTACAGGCATCATAACGCTTGTGAAACCCAGAGCCTGCAGGAACTCTCTACTACCCTCCACAGAACGAACTTTCTCCTAAAACAAAGCAAGAAACGATCTTTCTTCTTAAAAGGATGGCATATAATCTGTCATAAATCATTAGTCCTGAGTCAAAAAAGTGAAGAAGTCTCAAGCTTCAAACGCACCTGAAACACCTTGTTGCTGAGTTTAATCTTCCTGTATTTCTCTTCTGTGGGGTTCTTACAAATATTGTCAACATACCTGTCGACAAAACAATAAACACTGTAAACGTGAAGGCTCATAAAGACGCTCAACTGTGTAAAAAAATATGAGGAAAAAAGTCGAGCCGTCAGTAGCATTATAATCCGTAAGCGTCTTACTTGCTTATAATGTCCACAGCAGCCTTCACTTTGTCTCTGTCTTTGTTAAACGTGTAAATCATCATGACAGAGGCCTCAATTGCATCCTCCTCAAACCGCTGACGGTAAAAACAGAGCACACATTTTTATCAACAGTACCAACCAGAACAGCCTTCAATCTCATAGAAATCACATTAATATCTTGTCATGAACTGCACACACGTTCAAGCTAAAACAAGAGCAAGGAACAATATCTTCAGACATACCATAAAAATAGCCTCTTTAATGCGTACTTCCCTCTCACTCTTAGTTAACGTGGCTCCAGTTAGCGGACAGGTGAAATACACACCTGACACGGAGAGACAGGCGGGATCTTTCACTGGCACTTTGGATCCCTGCGACAGAAATGATCATTCACCAGCATTGTTAGTCTAAATAGGTCTCAATGCAAATCAAACATAATGTCAAAACTGTGTCACTCGAGAAGCCCGTGATTCGACCTGATACGTACCTCTGCTGCTGCTGCCTTTTCTTTTTCAGCCAGTGAAGCCGCCTCTGCCTCCAGTTCTCTTTTAACTGCAAGCAAATGCAGAAAATCATACAATTACAGACATGTGTTGGTTACTGGTGTCTTTCACATGCAAACAGATCATAAACAACAAATGTGTGACTGCAGAGTACATGCTGCAGCGTGTACTGTTTGTACAGGAGGAAGCTGGTTTTGCACCTGTGATGATTTGAGGCCACCTGCTCTACTAACCAAGCACAGTCTGCAACTTAACTCTGCATTACCATTATGTGCTTTCATGACACTTCTGATGTGTTGAAGTGAAGCTACGACACAAACAATTTGCTTATTGCTATCCATAAGGTATTGCCTGTATTAGTGTGATTTTTTATTTATTTATTTTTGCCCAGCCCCATTAATCAATGGCAATAATACTGGATTTACACTAATATTACTAATATAAATCAGATGCATCTTTAATCAGGACTAAGTCTACATTACCACATTCTCTTGCCACAGTTTGACAGACTACACAACCCCAGAACCTCTGCTGATAATTGCATGTAATAACAAAGAAGAGCAACATTGCTCAAACGGCCTACTGTCCATAAAAGTAAGGGGTCTGTCTCACCCTGGTTCCTGATGGCGTCCTGGGAGGTGTGCACCTTCGGCCGATGCTGCTGCTCGATCCTTGCCAGGGCTGCAGCTCCAGCCCTCTGGGCTCCTTCACTGGGAACATTGCGATTGTGCTTGGCGTTGGAGCTGCTCTGCACCACATCAGGCTTGGAACTACAGCGGCACGAGCAGAGAAACACGAAGTGAGGAGACACGTACACATCTCCCTTCGATAACTAACGAGAACAACACAAATACACCAGTGACACAGCAAGTCTATGTCTTGTTGGGCGGTTAGGTGGCTTAAATGCGCGTAAGTGTCACTTCTCGTTACTTACACCATTAGCTAAATGAGCTTGTTCAGGGATTAACTGTTAGCCAAGTTACCCTGAAATGAGAAGGAAGCCTCCCACCGTGCTCAGTGTTACATAACTTAATCCAACTGTAACCGTTCGCCCGATAAACAGGAATGCACGGAGAAAAAAAAACACAGAAATCTGCATTGTTCTTGTTAGCTCGAGCAAATCAATTCTCATTAGCGACCAGCAGTTCGCTAACTCAATTTTGCCAACGTTACTCAGCTAGCTACGCGGCTAGCTCTAGTTAGCCTTGGAGCAGATGGGAGAAGTTTATTTACCTGGTGTCTTCTGTTAGCTTCTTCCCGGGTCCCGCAGACTTAAATTTCATGTCCTTCTTAATGTCGTCAAAAAACTTCTTCATTTTCGCCAGCTGTCAGTGAAAAGCTGGGCTCAGAAACGCAAACAGATGGAGAGCACCTAGCTGAGCTCAGCTAGGAGGAGGACCAAAACAAAATTGTCACAACTGACACAAAACTGCTTCCGCCTCATGGACCGTCGTGTCGCCGCCGTGTGGTGGAGTCCGGAACTGCAGAACAGGAGGAGACGTTCTAAAAGCTTGTGGACTAAAGAAACTGGACTTGTCGGTTTGGTTCTGAAAGACGTTTCACCTTTAAAGGAAAGTGTGACCACTAGATATATTTCTGTCCATTTAAGATGTTTTCTTGGATGATAGAGGCCTTGCCACTTTTTAATCACAT